AGTGACAAGCATTAGTCTAGGAATCAATTGCTTTAAAGGCAGTACAATCAGCTCTGATGTCCTAAGTGACAGCAAAATCCTAAGGCTTATTTAATAGATGGTAATGCACTAGAATTTCTTGATCTGCCATAAGGAAGCCTTCAAAAGGAAACTAATGCAGGCATTACATAATCACCTCTCATTTGAGTGATACAATTTCATGTTTTGCTTATGAAATGTATCAGATTATTCTACACTTGAAACTGTGCAGGAATTTACAAGAAACAATTTTCTATCAGGAGAATACCACCTTTTTGTATTCTTGAAAGAGGAATGTGATGATAAAACAAAACCTCAAAATATTACTAATGCTTATTTATCTTTCACTTGTTATATAAAAGAGAAATCAAACTTACGTTGTAAGGCTTGATTGTTTGACTTAAAATATCTAAAAAAAAAAAAATCAGAAGGGCATAAGTGAGTGGCATTATGACTTCAGTTTTATTTGGCACAAACCAAGCACCAGCTCCTTCCTTTGAAGAAATTTCCTTATACAAAGTAAAGGAAACAAAGTAACCAAGCAGTTCCTGCAGTTGGTCCTCAAAAAGTAAAATTCAATTTTTTCTCACTTCTCCTGAGAAGTTTACATTACACCATTTTGTTACCCTACCAATGCAAAAAGAAATGGCATGCTTTTGTAAAATGACATTATGGATGTGAGTTTTGTTCGTGCAGAAACCTGAACTCACCAGGAGGCTTTGCTGTCTCCTTCATGAGCATCATGACAAGTGTGCACCTGTTGTGAACTCAAGCACCAGTGTACAAGAAAAAAATCCCTAGTGAATGCTCTTTACAAACAGTGTCAAACAAAAACGGAGACGAAAATAGTCTTAGAAGAAAAAGTGTAAGATGGATGATGCCTCTTAAATTTCTAAGCACATACCGATGGAGTTCTCCCTGGAGCACAGCTTGCATTTCTGAACCATAGTGGCGCTTCCTCTGCCTCCTTTCAGGGGAGCACTGTCCTAAAAACCACGACAATAGAGACACCATTTTTAACTGCACGGTAGCTGAGCCACTGGACACCTCCACAAAGGTAAAGTAGTTTTTACAACAGTGGTCTTTAACTATTAAAAAACATTGCAATGAGAAGGCTTTTTTTTAAACTTGGGAGATCTATAACTCAAAAAGCTGTGATTATCAAAGAATAATTCTATTCTAGACTTAAAATAGTGAATAATGGATAGTTATGTCTTGGCCATATAGACATGTTCCATTAATTCCTCAAAATACATTCTTAACCATTCAGTCATATGCAACAAAAAGGGATGATTATTCCTAAGCACAGAACCTTCTCTTACCCCTGACAAATTTTATCCTGCTTTTTCAGCTTCCAAATGCTAATTGAGCATGTTTAATTCACCCTGAATTACCTAAACTTCTCCAAAAAGATTCCATCAGCATCAGAGAAATATTCAACAGACACAACCTTATCCTGCTATCACTTCAAAATGTTTTCAAATTATATTTTTACAGAAAGGTGGCTTTTCAAGGCAGACGTAAATACTTTGTCCCCAACAGTCACTATTCCAATGGCATATTTCAAGTAACAGTCTCCAATTTTATTTTTTAAATATGGAGTATGACAGCATTTTCTGAATGCAAACAGCTATTAAAATACTGTCTCATCCAAAGTGCCAGTTGTCACGTCCCTGACGCCAACATCCCTTGTGTGTAAGAGGCAGGTTTGTTTTCTCGTTTTTGTTCTGAAGCAGGTTACAACAAACATACCATCAATCGCAGATACTGCCATTTTTCAGAAACTTCACCGCAGTTCCCGCATTTCAGCTGAAAAAGAAACAAAACTCAAGAGAATTTAACATTGTTGACAATCAGGGATTAAAAAGCTGAAGGAGCTGACATGAGCCCTCCAGATTCACCATGCCCACTGTTCACAGCTGAGAAGAGCCGGAGGCAGGTATCAGTTGCCATCTCTCCCGACAGGCCCGTGAGCGGATCCACCTGGCAGGTACTCACTCCCACCTGCTGCAGAGGCTCTGCCTTTTCTGCTCCTTTCGGGTGGAAAACATGTTACAAATTTGGCACGGTCACAAAATAAACGACAGGAATAGCGCATCCCGCTGCTCGCCGGGGCCCCCTGCCAATGGATACTGGATTACCAGCCACCCCATCAACAGAAGCACCGACCAACACTTGCACTTAAGGCTTTTCATTATTGCAAACTAACGCGTAATGTCACGCACGTATTAACGAACACGTATCTATTTACTTCTATCATCTCATCCGTTGCTTTTGTAGCAATCCGCTTGCACCGGGTGGAAAAAACACCCCACACGGCTGTTCGAGCTGAGCGGTGCGACACCCAGCACTGCGGGCCGGGGCCCCG